GCCCAGCTATTAATTTTACCATTATTATTCTAAAATCTTGTTCAGTTATGCTGCTGATATCTGTTTTGAGCAGTTCATTCGCTGTCATTTCTTCTTGGAGTTTCTTCGGAGGAGAGATCTTTCGTTTCGTCATTTTAGTTAGCTTTCCGGCTCTTGTTGGTTTTAAAGACTTGTTATGCTCTCTGTTTCTATGGGCGCTGCTATATCCAAGAAGACTCTTTGACTGTCCAGGGCCTATCCTTTCAGAGAGTGTTTTTTGAATGGTATCCCTTGGTCTCTCTTGTTGGGACCTTGGTTATATTATTTTCCTATTCGTAGTGATATTTGGGACTCTCCACCTTGTGTACTCTAGCTTGTTTCTTGAGGTAGCCATTAGAAGGCTCTCTCAGTGGATTCTGCGTCCTTTTTTCTCCCAATCTCTCAGGTTTTGTAAGGTTTCTAATGGCTTCAGATCTTTTCTGTGTGATGTATGGGCGCGAGTGCAAGTACGGAGCTCCTTACTTCTCTGCCATCTTGCCCTCTCTCCTCCTTTTTTTTTTTTTTTAACAAATCTATACTCTTCACTTTAACTTCTGAAATATCTAATCTCTTTTATCCCCTTCTAAATTTGTCTTCATTTCTCTGATTCTTTTCTACTTCTGTCTTAAGTTCTTGTTATTATAAACATGCATTATATCTTTGGCTTTTCAAGCCAAACCCCTAAATTTCAGGACATATGCTTGTGATTTCTGATATCTACTTTTCCTTGATCCCTCTGACAGTCCCCCTCTTCTCTGTCAGCCCCTGCCTGATTTCAGCTGTCCTTTGCATTATCTTCATTGTGAATAAAAAAGCCTCATGTGAATAGGTAAAAGTATACAATAAATGACTAGTACTGTATAAAGGTAGGTTGTGTTTATTGCTATTTTTGTTTTCAATATAATGATGACCAAGCTAGTGTGTTAGTAGCTGGAGATTTAGCACTACACAAGTGGAATGAAGACTTAAAACTAAAATACTTGAAGCTTACTGGCATGTGAGTCTTGTAAATCTCTGTTTATTCTAAAGGATTCTTTTCTTTTCTATTTGAAGGAAAAAGGAGAAGATATAAATGCAAAAAAAACAGTCTCAAAAAAGGTATGAGTAAATCTGTGAATTCACACCTGTGTGCTTACCGCAACTCCGATATCCCTTCCAGACCCATCTTTGTGACACCTCTGAAATCTCCAATGGGCTTCATAAATAATGAATTTTTTTAGAATACAGGCCAAGTTGTTGTAACAAAGAGAGCCCAAAATACAGTGGTCTAAACCACATAATTTATTTTTCTTTCATCAAACAGTCCAGAAATGGTAGGAAGAACCTGCCTTCCTCAACACGTAGTTTCCCTCTCTGGGTCCAAGAAATCTGGTCTGGTTGCCATTGTCTCCCAAACAGTGGGAATGGGAAAAATGGACAGGGAAATCACTAATCTATTTCTTTTAATGGAAAGAACCAGAGTCTTCTTCTCACATCCTATTGCCCAAAACATACTCACATGGCCAGAGCTAGCTGCCAGTGAGACCAAGAAATATAATCTCTAGTCAGGCAGTCGTGGGTTCAGCTGTAACTCTATTCCTATGGAAGAAGGAGAGAATGATTATGGGGGACAAATAACAATCTACTACTTGCCCTTCACATTTTCCCCCCAAAGTCACTGACTTCCTCATATATGGAGGAAAATTCAGATTATTGGTTCAGACCTGGCCTTCTTGTCACCTGAGACTCTTAGGCAAGAAGACGAGCTAAAATCTGGAAACAGCACAGAGCTACATGGTCAGAGACAAAATAGTCCTGAATGGGAAATGAGAGACCAAGAGAAAATGTGGAGATGTTTGTTGTAACTAATGAACATACCCCTCAACAGAACAAGGAGAAAGAGACAGAGGGAACTTGAATCAATTAAGTAGAAGCTAGAATCCTGGTATCACATCAGATCTAAGCCTGGGAAACAGTTATTTAAACCAAACTCAATCAGAGCATATGCCATACTGTGTTCATGCAGCAGAGGATGAAAAAGAGGAGTGACACTTTATTCTCTGTATCCAGCTCTGCAATTGTTTATTTCCATTGTGTTCCTCCTTTTTTTCCTCCTTTTTATCTCTTTTCTTTTCCCCTTCCCTCTTCTACTTATGTTCTTCTTGTAGAGGTCATTTCTTTTTCTTCATTCTTTAACATTAGATCATATGAAATATTGCTACTAAGTTGATGTGGCACGTAGAGGTGGCAGGGGCTTTTTCTTGTGGAGTCAAAACATATTTGGATATATTTTGTTTCCTTTACATTTCTTCTGATTATTTCTGTCATCTCATCATTATATATATAATGTAACTGAATGTATATGTATATGTAGTATACACATTATATATATATGTAGTATACACATATATTTATGTAAATAATATAAATAAAATATAAGCATATGAATAAATATATACATATATTTCTAGCATCTCTATCATTTTATCTCCATACTTGCCTGTATCATCTTAGTTATTTCTAAGGTTATGCTTACCCAGGTCCAAGATTTTATTCTTCTGAGTTTTTGTGAAACCTCTCTATCTTACCTGCTTTGTTAAAATGGAGTTGGTCATTTAAGCACAAATCACCTTTTTTCCTTCTACTCCTTTTCAAAATTGTTCTCTGAAATAGTTCTCTTCTTGCCCCAAGATGAAGTCTTAGGTAAGTCTTGGAGTTGTGCTAATCCTTTTGGGCAGCAGTGATAGTCTCATGCAATATTAAAAAACCCTGAGCTGATACAATATTACAACAGGAAAACATGTAGTGAAGAAGTTGAGTGAAACTAGTTTCTTCTCTTATCCACACTCTTATATAACCCTACTCAATATCTATGCTTTTAGCTAATTCAAGTTGTGGAAGAGGGATAGAAGGAAGTAAAGAGGAGGAATAGCCTTCTTATGATAGGTCCTTCATGTCTTCCAGATATGGAGGATGCATGAGAGACACTTGTGGGTGCTTTAAAGAACCCCTCTTTAAGAGAATCTGTCCATGGAAGCTCTTCTAAAACAGGAGCTGATTGCCCACCACTTCCCCCTTAGGGAGGTCCACACCCCTGCTGGGGTCATCTCATCTGTCCAAATCATTTTCTGGACAGAATATCTTTCAAGAAAATCTAACTGAGCTCCTCCTTTCCCCAGGGAGGGCCATGAGAATCATGCCTTCTTACAGTCCTCCTGTCAGTGGATGTGTAGCTGGCTCCCCACACAGTCACCGTAACTAGACTTGATTATATTCCCTATGCTATAATTTGTATGTCTGTGACTTATCCTTTCCATAACTGGAAGTCTGTGTCTCCCACTCTCTTTCATACATTTTCCTCATCCCCCAGCTCCTCTCCTCTAGCATCAGTTTGTTCTCTTATTTATAGGTCTGTTTCTGCTTTTTTTTTGTTTGTTTATTCATTTGTTTTATTCTTTATATTTCACATGTTAAGTGGAATTATATGGTGTTTGTGTTTCACTATTTGACTTGTTTCATTTAACATAATACCTTCTAAGTCCATCCATGTTGTCAGTAATGGCAAGATCTTATCTTTTTATGGCTGAGTAATATTCACACACACACACACACACACACACACACACACACACCATCTTCCTTATCCATTCATCTATAAATGAACACTTCAATTGCTTCCCTATGTTGGCTATTGTAAATAATGCTGCAACAAATATAGAAATGCATACTTCTTTTTGAATTAGTATTTTGCTTTCTTTGGGCAAATATCCAGTAGTGGAATTACTGGGTCATAAGTTATTTCTATTTTTAATTTTTTTGAAACTCCATATTATTTTCCACAGTGGCTTCACCAATTTACATTCCCACAAACACTGCACAAGAGTTCTTTTTTCTCCACATCCTCACCAAAACTTTTTATTGTCTTTCTTATTCTAACCATTCTGACAGCTGTAAGGTGATATCTCCTTGTGGTTTGGATTTCATTTCCCTGATAATTAGTGATGTTGAGCATCTTTCACGTGTCTGTTGGTCATCTGTATGTTTTCTTTGGAAAAATGTCTATCCACATCCTTTACCCACTTTTAACCACTTTTTACGTTGAATTGTGTAAGTTCATTATAAATTTTACCCCTTATTGGATATATCATTTGTGAGAGCTTCTCTCATTCGGTAGGTTGTCTTTTCATTTTGTTGATGATTTCCTTCACTGTGCAAAAGTTTTATCTTGGTATAGTCCCAATAGTTTATTTTCGCTTTTATTTCCCTTGCTTGAGGAGCAAGATCTAGAAAAATATTCCTGAGGCTTATGTCAAAGACATTACTGCCTGTGTTTTCTTCTAGGAATTTTATGTTTTCAAGTCTCAATTTAAGTCTTAATCCATTTTAGTTTTGTATATAGTATAAGAAAGTGGTCCAGTTTCATTCTTTTGCATGTGGCTGTTCAATTTTCCCAGGACCATTTGTTGAAGAGACTCTCTTTTTCCCATTGCATATTCTTTCCTCCTTTGTCATAATTTAATTGACCATACAAGTGTGGGTTTATTTCTGGGCTCTCTAGTCTGTTCCATTGATCTGTGCATCTGTTTCTATGCCATTACTCTACTGTTTTGATTACTACCACTTTGTAATATATTTTGAAATCTGGGAGTATGATACCTCCAGCTTTGTTCTTCTTTCTCAAGATTGTTTTGGCTAGTTGGGGTCTTTTGTGGTTCCATACAAATTCTAGTATTATTTGTTCTAGTTCTGTGAAAAATGTTGTTGGCATTTTAATAGAGACTGCATTTAATCTGTACATTGTTTTGATTACTCTGGACATTTTGATATTTACTTATCTGTGAGCATGGAAAATCTCTGGATATGTTTGCATCATCTTTAATTTCTTCCATCAAATTCTAGTTTTCAGAGTACTGGTCTTTCATCTCCTTGCTTAAGTTTATTCCTAGGTATTTTGTTATTTTTGGTGCAATTGTAAATGGAATTCTTTATAGAGACAGAGGACAGGAAAGGGGGGCAGAGGAATATAGAGAATCTCAAGCAGGCTGCATGGCCAGCACAGAGCCTGACACAGGGCCAGATCCCACAACCTTGGGCTCACGACCTGAGCAGAAATCAAGAGTCAGATGCTCAACTGACTGAGCCACTCAGGTACCCCCAGAATTAGTTTCTTAATGTGTTTTTCTGCTACTTCATTATTGGTGTATAGAAATGCAGCAGATTTCTGCACATTAATTTTGTATCCTATAACTTTACTGAATTCACTTATTCCTTTCAACAGTTTTTCTGTGGAGTGTTTAGGGTTTTCTATCATATCAACTGTAAACAGTGATAGTTTAACTTCTTCCTTACCAATTTGGATGTCTTTTATTTCTTTTACTTGTCTGACTGCTGTGGCTAGCACTTCCAGTACAATGTTGAATAAAAGAGGTGGAAGTGAACATCCTTGTCTTATTCCTGATCTTAAAAGAAAACTCTCAGTTTTTCACCATGGAGTATGATGTTAGCTGTGAGTTTTTAATATATGGCCTTTATTATGCTGAGTTATGTTCCCTCCAAACCTGCTTTGTTGAGAGTTTTTATCATGAACAGATGTTGAATTTTGTCAAATGCATTTTCTGTCTCTATAGAAATGATCATAAGATTTTTATCCTTCATTCTGTTGTTGTGGTATATTGTATTGATTGGCAAATATTGAACCATCTTTGCATTTCTAGACTAAATTCCACTTGGTCATGATGAATGGTCCTTTTGGTGCATTGTTGATTGCAGTTTGCTAATATTCTGTTGAGGATTTTTATATGTGTTCATTAGGGGTACTAGCCTGTAGTTTTTTTCTTTCTTTCTTTCTTTCTGTTTTTTAATAAAAAAACTTCCCAGATTTATTTATTTTGGGGAGAGCACAAGCAGGGGAGAAGCAGAGAGAGGGAGACAGAAGATCTTAAGCAGGCTCTGTGCTGACAGGCAGACAGCAGTGAGCCCAATGTGGGGCTTGAACTCATGAACTATGAGATCATGACCTGAGCTGAAGTCAGATGCTCAACTGACTGAGCCACCCAAGTGCCCCTTTTTCTTTCTTTCTTTCTTTCTTTCTTTCTTTCTTTCTTTCTTTCTTTCTTTCTTTCTTTCTTTCTTTCTTTCTTTCTTTCTTCTCTCTCTCTCTCTCTCTTTCTTTCTTTTGTCTGGTTTTGATATAAAGGTAGTGATAGCCTCATAGAATATAGTTGGAAGTCTTCCTTCCTCTTCTATTTTTTGAAATAGGTTGAGAAGAATAGGCATTAAGTTTTCTTTAATGTTTGGTAGAACTCACTTGTGAATCCATCTGATCCTGGACTTTGGGGGATTTTTTGATTGTCAATTCTATTTAATTACTAGTAATTCATTTGTTTGGATACTCTATTTCCTCCTAATTCAAGTTTTGGAAGATTGTATGTTTCTAGGAATTTACCCATTTCTTACAGTTTGTCCAGTGTGTTGGCATACATTTTTTGTAACATTCTCTTATAATCATTTGTATTCCTGTGGTGTTTGCTCTTATTTCTCCTCTTTCACTTCAGATTTTGTTTCCTCCCTCTTTTTTTCTTGATGAGTCTGGCTAAGTTTTGTTTATCTTTTCAAAGAACTATCTCTTTGTTTCACTGATATTTTCTGTCTCTTTGTTTCACTGATATTTTCTAGTTTTTGGTCTCTATTTCATTAATTGCTGGTCTGATCTTTATTATTTCTTTCCTTCTGCTAACCTTGGGTTTTGTTTATTCTTTTCCTAGTTCCTTTAGGTGTAAGGTTAGATTATGTATTTGAGGTGTTTCTTGTTCCTTGAGGTATTCTTATATCACTATAAACTTCCCTCTTAGAACCACTTTTGCTGTGTCCCAAGGGTTTGGGACTGTTGTGTTTTCATTTTCATTTGTTTCTATGTATTTTGAAATTTATTCTTTTATTTCTACTTTGACCTATTTACTGTTTAGCAGCATGCCAGCAGCATCTTTTTATATTTTTGTTTTCTCAGTGAGAAGGAGATACAAACATAGAATCCAAAATCCGAGTAACAGAGCTCCGCGGAAAAGAGGCAGACCAAAAGGTAAAAAAAGAAAAAGAAAAGATGTAAAAGATGTATGCATTTTCCATTTTTGATAACTAAACATCTAAATTTTCATGCTTTATTCTATGCTTTTAATAGACCTATTTCCATATTGCTTTATGTAGCTGTATTGTTGAGAAATATATCAGATTTAGTCAATTTCTAAAATGTGACAGGGAGAAAAACATGGCAACACCACAAAAAAGTAATTTGATGATGAATCTGCGACCAGAACCTGGAGCCCAAGTGCCACTGTAGTGTTGACTGTACTGAGCTGATAGCTTTTAAGCCTGGAAGTAATTTTAGCCATAAAACACTGTGTAACTCACAAATGATGTAGCTGTCCTTCCTCATGTCCCATGACCTTGAAGTAATCATGTGGACTTGAGTGTGTCATTCTATCTCTTCTGCCTCAGTTTCCTCATCTATAAAGTAAGATAAATAGTAATAGACTGACTGCCCTCCAAGGCCCATCTCAGCCTCACATACAGTTTAATATCCTATGGAAAGGAGAGTCTAGCTCACACACTAGTCCCAAGAGGATTTAAACAGAGGGAAACTGAAAGCAAGAGAATACATGTTTGCCAATAATGGCTAGTACTCAACAGACTCAGATTATAGCCAGATCTGGGGTTTAAGGAGAGGACAGACGGAGCAAGAAGAAAGCAGAGAGAGCTTTCTCATGGGACAGTAGGCCTTGACCATTGACAGGAGCAGGGAGGAGGGAGGAAGGGAGGGAGATTGAGTCAGAACTGGCTAGTTTTCCTGGGTATACCTACCACTTCATTGTCATGAGTGACAGGAGAGGGCTGTTGCACAGAGAGCCTCACTAGCAGGATGGCTTTTTACACCTGGAAACCATACTAACTGCCATACTTGGCACAATCATGTTCTTTGGAACTGATCAATGTAGAGCAATTTTTAAAGAAAATTTTATCTATTTATTTGGGGTATACTTGTTGCTTATTTTACATCTCTTGAATCTTTAATATCAATAGCTATGCTTATGATTCCTTTACGCAGGTTTGGGAATCTCTCCTCAGTGTACCTCCATAAGATCTTGATAAACTACCTAAGGGTAATACCTTATAGGGTAGAACATGCTAGATGATGTGATTCCTCTTAGAATAGGAATCATCAATAAATATCTCATGGGTCCATTTTATCTTGATGAGTTTCTAAAAACCCTTTGTTACAGCAAAGACCCCCCCACAATGAAGGCTTTTTGTGCGTAGTTGAAAAAAATTTCTTTCCAGCCTCATCTGATCATAATCTGCTTAAAGGAAAGACCAGATGGTTGAGTATCTGGAGAAGACTTACTCCTGGGACCTGAAATACCCAGATTAGTACCCCAGGATGCCAGCCATGGGCACAGAACTTTAGAAAGAAAAAGCATCCAGTGTGTGTCCCTGCCTTCAACATTCAAACACATTTAAATAATGGCAGACCCAAGTATGCACTTGGACACGACTCAATCTTTTTTTGGACACAATTGACACATAAATTATATATTACATTCTTCTAAGATATCTTTTAAGTCAACCCTTTGTGCTATCACCAACCCTGCACCTTTTAGAACTTGGGCATCAGTTTCTAGAAGTTCCCTTTTATGGGGTAGTTTTGAAATACTTATTCCTTTTTGCCACCATTTTCCACACAAGCATCTTCTTTCAAGTTTGGAGTTTGGGGCAGCTATCTGACTGGTAGAATCCACAGTGTGATCTCTCTTGAGACCTTATATTACTGCCTTTTATGTCTGTCTCTTTTTTTTAATATAATTTATTGTCAAGTTAGCTAATACAAAGTGTATACAGTGTGCTCTTGGCTTCAAGATTAGATTCCCATGATTCATCACTTATATACAACACCCAGTGCTCATCCCAACAAGTGCCCTCCTCAATGCCCATCACCCATTTTCCTCTCTCCCCTTCTCCCCCTCATCAATCCTTAGTTTGTTCTCTGTATTTAAGAGTCTCTTAATGTTTGCCTCCCTCTCTGTTTGAAATTATTTTTCCCCTTCCCATCCCCCAAAGGAAATATTCAGCATCTTCCTTTAATTTGTATTTTCATCTGTGAGCATTGATTTTTCTCATCTATAAAATGAAGACAGTATTAGTTCCTATTTGATCACTTGTTCTAAGTATGAGCTAAGTTGATAGAGGCAAGGTCTAAGGATAGCTCTTAGCACATAACAAGCACTCAATAGATGTCTAACTTCACTCTTCTTCTTACCCAGCTGCTTTGGAAATAATAGTAAAATAAATAAGGATGAATTTCAGTTAAGTATCATTTTTGTAACTAAGTCTAGGCCAGGGTTCAGCAAACTATGGCCCACAGGACAAATCTAGCCCACTGACTGTTTGTAAATAAAGTTTTATTGGAACACAGCCACATCTTTTCGTTTCAATATTATCTCTGGATGCTTTCACAATACAACACCAGATCCGAGTAGTCACCACAGCAATTATATACTTAAGTATTTACTCTCTGATCCTTTAGAGGAAAAAGTTCTGGACTCCTGATCCACACATTTGCTGTTTTTCTTGAAGTACTAGACAGGCTCTTGAAAAGTTACATTTGAATGGTGTTTTTGCAAAACATTACTATTTGCAATGTAATATTATAAACAAGAGACATTGATGTTATTTTTTACTTTCTCAGGGAGAAAAACAGTCAACAGTGGGCCTTTGAGAAGAGGCAGAAAAAGAGGTAAAATTAAGTAATTAATATACTTTTAATAATTAAGTATCTAAATTCTGATTTTATACTATGTGTTTTTGCCGGGAGCCGCACCGGCCTCTCTGGATGGCAGTCACAGCAAAGAGCAGCAATATTTGTGCAGCTCCTGCCATGGGGAGTGAAGGCTGATGTCTTTTTCTGCCACTGCTGATTCACGTTATCCTGTTTCTCAGTAAGAGCGGCAGCTGATATCTCTTTCTGCCACTGCTGGCTCATGTTGGAAATATCTATACACAACTTAAACCTATATGTTATCTTGTTTCTCAGTAAGAGCACCCTGTTATTTTCTTGGTCGTGGCTTATCTGTATGCAACTTAAACTATATCTTGTTTCTCAATGAGGGCATCCTGTTAGCCTATCTATATACAACTTAACATATGTGTTATCCTGTTTTCCGCTAAGAGCATTCTTTCTAAGTTCACTATGACTGGAACAATTCGGCAATTGTTATCGCAAAAGACCTTCTGTTGTAAAGAAACTCCTTTCGTTGACCTCATAATGTGGTTAGACCTTTAAATAAAGACACCAAAACAGACAGGACAGAGATGCCTGCCTGGTGATCAAAAAGAATCTCAGGGCTCTCTCACTCTCTCTCTTGCTGACACTGTCCATCCTCCAGGGACCCCTGGACCTGCTGGAATCGGCCTCTGACATGTTTTGAATGATCCGTAAATTTTCTTAATTGATTTTTAGAGCAAGTGATAAATGTTATGATATTCATTGGCCTTGGTTAATTTCAACAATAAGACAAGATGGTAGTAAAACCCACTCCATTGATTAGCCAGTTGATCTGAGAGACCCTAGGCCTCCTTCGGCCTGTACAGGGCTTCTTTCACTATACTGATAACACTTGAAGAAGGAAAATATAAAGAAAAAAATACAAAGGGTGTGACTCACATGATTTTTAGCTGATCTTTCTTTACCTACATAGAGAGCCACAGGTTGTCCTTTAACGGGGACCCTTGGTGGTAATACAAAGCCTATGTCCTAATTCCCAAACTTCTTTTGGTTGTATGACATTGGATCACCATTTGTGATGAGTGAGTGAATGAGTGAGTGGCCTAGAAGGTCACCCAGCTCTAACTGAACTGACTCTGGAAGGACCATGACCCCTCATCCTTCCCATCCCAGAGAGAAGCCCCAGCATGTGTGTTTAATGAATCCCCCTCAATGCTGGCCCAAATATTCTGAAGTCCATTTTAAGACTTGCGACACCTGCTTCAGCAGAATAATATTCCTGTGTCCCTGCCCAAAGGATGTGCAGAGGTCCCCTCCCTGAGCAATTTTTAGTTCTAGCACACTCCACCCTGGGTTTCCCCTTTAGCCACAGAGAAAGCTCACATGAAGAAAAAGTGCAACAGGCAGAGAGTGAGGAGGGAAGACAGACACCATCCCTTCTAGGTGCAACTCCATTGCAATCCTGTTTTCTGTCCCTCATGTGATTCCTCAAGTGAGGAGACAAAACTAAAAGTGGAGGGGTTTATCTCCAACTACATAACTTCAAAGCAATAATATTATAGGAGGAAAATTATTGAAGAGTTGTGGTCAACAAACCTGGAGATTCAAACATCTCCACACAAGACTTTTAATACAGGCTTTTAGAGGAAGACATTATCTTTGTGTATCTAATCTGCTATAGAAGAAAGGAAGAAAGGCCTAGAAGGGTAACAATTTCATGGGGAAAATCCTTCCAATACTTTTTAAATTATAAAAGAAAGATCTCAAGATGGAGGAGGTCAGAACACTGCACAGTTGTAGAGAAACAGAATGAAAACAATAATGCTTCCTTGCAGGTCCAAGAATTCCCAGAGATACAAATATGAATTTTCACCTTCCAGAAGTTCCTGTGACATGTGGAGGGGCAAAGGGGATTTTATATAAGGAAAGAATGAAAAAAGGTGGGTTTCATGGTCTTCTATGCTTTTCAAATGGAAAGTACCCATGTGAATGATTCAGGTGGTAGACACCTGTGTCAGAGGGTTCCCAAGACCATCCCCAGGTTTGGTAATTCACTAGGAGGATTTTTAGGACTCAGCATATAGTGAACTCATGGTGATAATTTATTAAATTAGAAGGGTACGAAGTAAAATCAAGGAAGGAAAAGACATACGGGACAAAGTCCAAAGGAAACCAGGCACCAGTTCCCAAGAGTCTCTCCTGGTGGAGTCACACAGGATGCACTTAATTCTCTAGCAATGAATTGTAACAACATGGGTGAAATGCAGTCTACCAGAGGACTTGCCTCCCTTCCTCCGAATCTCAGAGTCCAGGTTTTTAGCAGGGGGTCATCATGTAGGTGCCCTCTGCCTAGCACATGCCAAAATTCCAGACTCTCAAAAGGAAAGCAGGTGCTCAGTATAATTCATCTTGTTTGTATAAACAGTTTAGGACAGTGAGACATCCTCAAGCTCTGGGAATGGTAGGACCCCTCCCCAAATCTAAGTTCTCAGATGCCAGCCAAGAACCAACCTTGCAAGCAGACCTTTCTAAAGATAGCAGCCTCAAGTCTGCCCTGTCAGCTCTTTCTGCACAGCATCCCAGATAGGCTGGAAGAAAGATGGCATTTCACACTTAAAATTAGTAAACATAACAGGACATATTTCCTTTTCTCATGAAAATGGTCCACAAGATGCCGTCCAGCACCCAATGAGATCAAGTACACTAATAGCAGGGCAGAAAAGGTACACGTGTGAGAAATCTAGCAACAACCTTCATGGCTTCATTTTCCATAACATCTGTACAGCCTTGATCTCACTGGGAGGAGCACAGGATTTAGAATCAGAGGACCTGGATTCAAGTTTTAGCAATACCAAAAGTGTGTGTTTCATCTGAGCTAAGTTCCTGGTCTCTCTTACCTTGAACTTCCTCCTGTACAAAATGGGAATAATGATAAAACTGCTTTACCATGTTATTATGAAGAAGGGAAATGAGATAATGGATATAAAATACTTTGCAAATAATCATTGTCAAAGTACACTAAAAACGTTCACCTGTCATAATTGATTCCCCCTTCCCCAAATATAGTTCTTTAGGCACCAACAAGTGTTAATGTTTCCCTGGGGCCATATTGCAGATGTGTACTGTAACTTTGCCCTCTTGATGACATTTCCACACTTTTCACATAAAATAGCTGTGAGTCCAAAATATAAGAAGTAACTGATTGCCATTAGCTGGATGGCCAAAATTGTACAAGGTGAGGCAGATGTGGTTGAGATGACAGTGGCCACTTGTCCACCTGTGTGGCCTTGCATCGCCTCTGAAACTCAGCCTGCCTCTTTCCTGGCTCTCAGAGAAGGCAAGGAAAACAAGTCTAATCATTCATCTTCAGAGCCATTCAGTTTTTTTTCCTCTTTTGAATGTAGTGAAATACTTATTAAAAATAAATGTTGGTGTTAATTATTGTCCTTGTTGCACAAAGGTCAATGATGTGTGTCCACACGGCAGGAAGTCCCCTCTTACCCTTGCCTTTCAGGCTTCCTGTAGGGCCCTGAGAGGGAACTCAGCTGTCTTGCTACAGATCCTGAGCCCAAGATCCACAGAGGAGGCCATGTTTTGAGGAGTTTATAGCCAAGAGGGCACTCCCTGGCAACTTCTTTTTTTTTTTTTTTAATGTTTTTTATTTCTAGGAGAGAGAGAGAGAGAGAGAGAGACAGCGTGAGCAGGGGAGGGTCAGAGAGATAGGGCGACACAGACTCCGAAATAGGCTCCAGGCTCTGAGCTGGCCGTCAGCACAGAGCCCGACGCGGGGCTCGAACCCACGAACCGCGAGATCATGACCCAAGCGAAAGTCGGACGCTTAACCGACTAAGCCACCCAGGCGCCTCGCTCCCTGGCAACTTCTTCTTTTGGTCTCACAGGAACCACAAAGAGGTGTATAAAGGGTGAGGATGGAAGGTGGTACACCCTCAGGGACTTTGAAATTGAAGGAAACCACGGACCGTCCAAGAACTGGAAGATGAGTGTGAGGTGTGGCGGATTCCCCCTCAAACAGCTGATCGAGGTATTCCAATGACAAGGGGCTTAAGTCAAGGGTCTAATGTCATAGGTCGTCAGTTCCAAGCATTAGCAGAATTTCACAGCGTCCAGAAAACCGTCATGAACCCCTTGCCCAGATCACAATGCACATGTTACTTACTAACATTCTACTCAGGAGTATCTTGGCTGCTTTATATTAGAGCTTAACCCTCTGAATGCATGAGCTATTAGCTGTCTGGTTTTCTGGAGTTTTTAATGTCTTTTAAAATTTTATTTATTTTGAGAGAGAGAGCATGAGGAGGGGAGGGGTGGAGAAAGAGAATCCCAAGCAGGCTCTATGCTGTCAGCACTGAGCCTGAGGCAGGGCTGATCTCACAAACCGAGAGATCATGACCTGAGCCGAAACCAAGAGCCAGATGCCCAACCTACCGAGGCATCCAGGAGCCCCCAAGCTCTTATCCTTTTGAAGGTAGAACAGTAAATTATGTCCCTGTCTAGACCACTAATAATTACCACTGTGTAATCTTGTCACAGAAAATAATTTAAATTGGCGGGTGGGGGGGTCTTAGATTTGGGGGGGGACTAATGTTTAAATAATATGGTAGATCTGTGTATCTAAAAATAACACATCAGTATAAGTGTTTCTTGGATTACAGAGTATTTGACTATTATTTCTTTTGATAGCCATCTGAAATTCATTCTTGAAAGAGAATATAAATAAATTGCATTTCAAAATACCTCCTTTAGTCCCCATATCAGCCCCCTGATGTGGACAAAATAGGCTGGGTCTCTACTGCGGATGAGCTCATGCATTCTGACTCTGTCACATGACCCAGATGGCCCTTCTTTGTGCCACTCTAATGAAGAAGAAAAGCTCTTTGCTCAGCAAGTATCTATTGAGATGCATCTAAATCCACAAGGACTGTAAGGTGTGAGCCCCAGCCATGCAGGAGGAAGGCTACACATTTACAACACAGAACCAGGTACTTCCTTGATGCAGTAGGTGACACACCATCCTTGTCCCCAGAGGACTGCACAGTACATGGTGCTGTAGGAGGGGTGCTGGCAGGAAGAGATGCAGTAACTCCAGGGAGGGAAGGTTATTTCTGACCTTGAAGTTGAGGACAGTTTCATGGAACAGTTTGCACTGAGCCAAGCCTTTTCATTTTTTAATTTTTAAAATTTTATGCCTTTATTTAGGGTGGCTCAGTCGGTTAAGTGTCCCACTTTGACTCAGGTCATAATCTTGCAGTTTGTGAATTCAAGACCCGCATCAGGCCCTGTGCTGACAACTGAGACCCTGGAGCCTGTTTTGGATTTTGTGTCTCCCTCTCTTTCTGCCTGCCCCGCTCCTCAAAATTAAATACACATTTAAAAATTTTTAATGATTAAAAATAAAAAATAAATTTATTTACATTTAAGTTATTTAACATATAGTGTAATAATGATTTTGGGAGGAGAATTTAGTGATTCATCACTTAATTATAATACCCAGTGCTCATCCCAACAAATGCCCTCCCTAATGCCCATCACCCATTTAGCCCATCTTTATCTCCCCCCACCCTTCCAGCAACCCTCAGTTTGTTCTCTGTATTTAAGAGTCTCTTGTGGTTTGCCTCCCTCTCTGATTTTATCTTATTTTTCCTCCCTTTCCCTATGTTCATCTGTTTTATTTCTTAAACTTCACATATGAGTGAAATCATATATTTATCTTTCTCTGACTGACTTATTTCACTCAGCGTAATACATTCTAGTTCCATCCACACAGTTGCAAATGGCAAGATTTCATTCTTTTTGGTCACTGAGAAATATTCCATTGTGTATATACACCACATCTTCTTTATCCCTTCATCAGCCAATGGACATTTGGGCTCTTTCCATAATTTGGCTATTGTTGATAGTGCTCTGAACTGAGTCTTTAAAGAATAGTCCTGATGAGCAAAAATGTAGGAACAAGGCATTCTATATAGAAAGGATGGGATGAAAATCCTGCCTGTGATTTGTCAAAAAGTTGTGGGTTTGTTACATGGGCTGTGCAGTTGGAAGACATCTTAAGACTGGAAGAAGGTGTCTGAACCCTTCCTTTAATAATGGGGTGATCACGGGGCAGTGGAGGGTTGAGTTAGGGATGACTGACATAGGTGTGACACTGCTTTAGAAGTATTAATCTGATCAGGGGCACCTGGATGGCTCTGTCAGTTGAGCACCGAATCCTTGGTTTCGACTCAGGTCATGATCCCAGGGTCATGGAATCAAGCCCCGCATTAGGCTCTGCACTGAATGTTGAGCCTGTTTGGGATTCTTTCTCTCTCTCTCTCTCTCTCTCTCTCCCTCAGCCCCTTCCCTGTTCATGCTCTCCTTCTCTTTCAACAAAATAAAATTTTAAAAATAGAAGTATTAATCTAATCAGAGAATGCAAGATGGATTGGAGGGTGGTGTGGTTGCAGCCACAGGGACCTCAAGTAACCTTGATCACCTTTGTGCCTGATACACTCTCACTCAGCCTGCAAGGCCCAGCTTGGCCCATCTGTTTCCTGTGGCTCTACATCTGTTTCCTGGGGCTGATGTAACAACTTTTCACAACCTGGGTAGCTTGAAACAATAGAAATCTATTATCCTAATGGTTTTGATGGCCATAATCTGAAATCAGTTTCACTGGGCTCATGTCAAGGTGTTGGCAAGGCTGGTTCCTTCTGGAACCTTCCAGGGAAAATTTGTTCCTTGCCTTTTTCAGCTTCTGGAAACTGCCTGCATTTCTTGGCTTGAGGCCCTTCCTGGCATCACTCCAACCTCATGTTCTGTCATTATGTCTCCTACTACTCACTCTGACCCTCCTGCCTCCCTCACCAAAGGATGCTTCTCGTTACACTGGCCTCACACAGATAACCAGAATGATCTTCCCATTGTCAGATCCTTAATTTAATTACATCTGTGAAGTCCTTTTTACCACTTAAGTTAACATATTTGGAAGTCTGGGGATCTGACCATCTTTGGGGGCCGTTATTTAGTCTACCATACTCCCCCATCTCTGGATCCCAAAATACTCTGTAAGAGCATGGTTTACACTTCATCACCCTTGCCCATTAAATAATGACTGTTCCCACTTGTCTCCCCAAAGGCCTGGACACCTTTGTGTGCTCAAGGCTACTGAGAGCCTGCACCCTGTCTATCACTCACTGGCTATATGCCACTGGAGTAACTCTAGCATGTGAGGTATAAAAACACAAGCTGGAGAGGTCCTGAGGGGTGGAAAGGAAGCAGTGGGTGTAGAATACATTGTGAAGGAAAACCTGGTATGGCTATAAGGAGAGCAAAAGAGAGGGCACAGTTTTTAAAGTTTCCCTTAAAGCTGAGTCTGGGTAAGGAAGAACAGTATGTCAGGGATTGGGAGAGGGACCTTATTTTACATGAAGACATCTTGAATTTGTGCCGACAGTGGGGCATATCTGGAAGGCAGTTGGAAATACCAAGCTCACAAAGTAGAAACAAGGACCCATTTGGCATTAATCTCATTTCTCTTTCAGAATAAATTTCTACCAGACCCGCCAAGAAAAAAAAGAAAGGTAATTATCACATGACCTTCTACCAATGTCTCACTCCCTTGGAATGGATAATAGTCGTGTGTCACCTGGTGAAGCAAGCAACCCAAATCACATTCTCTCCCATTCTTTCATATCTTTCCTCTTCTTCACATGCGCGTGCATGCACACACACACACACACACATTCACACCGAGGACTTCTTCAAGAGATCTTTATTTAAGGGAACTTCCTATTCTTCTATGGAAATGTCATCTTAGAGGATAGAGAGGTTGGAAGGCTGATGTGCACTGGGAGAGACACTGCTGGCCCAGAAGATTTTTTCCTTTGTAGAGAGGCCCACCCCATGGACATGGTTTTGGAGCTGAGTGTCTCTGTATAAAAACATAAGGCCTCACCAGATGGGTTTTGCACACATCAGTTCTGTCTATGGAGCAAATTCTCTTTCCTTCAAAGTTGCATGTGGAGCTCACAGGCCAGTGGTTTTTGTGCTGCATGGATTCCAGGGAAGGTGTTGGGATAGTTGGTGTCTTCTATGGCTTCTCCAAGAGTACATGTGAGAGATAACTTGTATGGTGCAGAAAGGAGATGGAAGAACTTCCATTTTCCTGACTTCCAATAGAGGTGAGGTTGGCCCATTTCTGCTGCACCAGAAAGTCACGGTCTTCACCAAGCTGTTGTCAGTGGCTGCCTGCTCCACCGGCCTTATGCTAAAGACTCAGTCACTAGGGTCTCCATCCACTGGGTTTTCTGGAGAAAGAGATGCTATTTGCTCTGTTCATTAAGAGCAAACATCTCTACCCAATGCCAGGGAGCTAAGGGTTACAGCCTTGTGACCGCCTCAGTTCTTAGAGCATCTCTCCAGTGGGTCTCTTCCTTACCCAGACCCTAGGCTTCTGTCCCTTGTGTCATCAAATGACAGGTGGTGCTACTGGCAGTTTCCCTGCTCCTACGATTCTTATTAAACCTGATGGTGATAGCTGAAGTGTTCCAAGATAGTAAGATATAAAACTTCAAGCTGATCACTTACTGGCTGCTAAGAAACCTTGTCTCCTGAGTGACAACTGTGTTCATTTGTTTGTTCCCTTAAGTATCCATTCAACAAACACCTGTGGAGCAAGCACTAAGCACTAAGTATATGCTTGGCCAATGGCAGTGCACAGGAGGCCAAATGACAGACCCAAAGGATTGTTTTAATTTTGTTGTCTAATGTGGGACTATAACTATTGGTGTGGGGTGAGGTTCTAGGCCTTTCTGAGAGGCAAGAGTCATTGTGCTTCGGATCACACTGTGTGCTTATCTATGGCCTTTCTGCCTTGGGTTGGAGGTAAAAGCTGAGGCCACCATTGTTCTAGACTGAAGGAAGCCACGTCATTCCACAATATCCAAGATCAATTCAAGTTTTGGGATTTAGCAGAAAGTGAAGAGGTACTTAGCTTCAGGAAGAAGAGCTATAGGACTGGGGACTTCAGACCCATTTTATCTTCAGGGCTATGACCTAAGTGAGCTGCAAAAGACAGTGAGGGGTCTTAGGGACACTTGCATGGTGTCCAGAGCTCTGGGCACTGTAGCCACTGGAGGCTGTGGATATTCAGTCTTCAGTCCGATTCTCTCATTGCAATTCCAGCCCCATCTGTGGAATCCAGGGCCAGAGTCCCTGCATAGCTTCACAAAGGCCTGCCATGGGTCTAAGAGCCAGAGAATGGAACTTACATTGGGCCCAACTGCCAGAAACAAATAAGTTCATACTTTTTTATCCTCCACTTAGCTATATGGACCCATAAAAGCAGATATAAAACAAAGGGAGGGCTGTAGCATGAATCCTTTACACAAAGAAATCTGCTCAAATGTGTGGCAAATAAAAAATCATATGCAACATTGTCACTCATTCTTTCTCTCTTTTCTACAGATTATCCCAGAACATAGTGGAAATAACTGTGTTGACCCTTTTGTAAGTACTAATTCCCACCTGTAACCCCAGAACACTACAGGCTGTGTCCCTCCATACATTATCTGTGTCATTGCTGTGTTCCCCCAAAGCATGTGCATACACAGTTGGAGCATGTCACTGTGTGTGATGAGCAGAGAATGGCAGACACATCACCCACACCAGGGAGATGGTTCTGGAGCTGGTGTCTCTGCATGAAAACATCCTTTCCATTTGTTCAGGGAAACTTTCCTGTTTCCTATTTCCCCTCGAAAGTGAGTAGGGGAGGCAGTATGCCTCTAGAGCCAGGACTTGAAGTGCTAATAGTCAAGACTGGCCTGCAGATTAGGGGAAAGGAGCAATTTTGAGAGAACAGCAGCATTTTAAAGAAGGTGATAGGGAAGGAAAGGAAAATCCCAAACATCTACTCCACGGTGCAGGCAGATATAAGATGGTTTTAAGCATCGGTCAGAAGGAGCAGATTGGGCCAAACTGGAGAGTCCAGGGGTAGACTCTGTCACGAGTCCTGCAGAGAAATGTACACAGGGCAAGTGGGTGCCACAGAGTAATGTATGAAGGGCCCTAACGGGAAGCCATGGTGTCCGTCTGAAGGAAGCCATCAGGATGCTGAGCTGGCTAGGACTGAAGCCATCAACATGGGGCAAATCATAGACAGTTCTACTCAAACTTCTTGGCTAGTGCCAAGAAGATGTGATATTTGAAAAATAAGATCAGCAGGACTAGTGATGGATTGGATATCTGGGATGGGGAAAGGGAGGGATGCGTGTTCACTTCCAGGCTTCTCGATGGATGCTGGAGTTCTTGGTGAGGTGAGGGGCAACTGAAGAGAAGCAGATTCAAGACAGGAAGACAAGGAATGTGGTTTCAGGTGGGATGGGTTCAGACATGATGAAAGACATCTAACTGGAGGTGACGGAAAGTTGAGTTTGGATGTTTGAAGACTCAAAAGGTAACTAGAAATACAGGTTTTAAAGTTTGGGGATAGATGTGACAGGCATGGTCATGGGAGCAGTTGTGGTCATCCAGGAGAGTGAAATGAGCAGGGGACACCAGACAGAGACCCAAGGAATTCCATCATTCCAAGTGAGGAACCTGAAAAAAAAAAAAAAGAGGTAGAGGGTTAGGGAAAAATCCAAGAGAGTAGAATGTTCCAGAACAAAGCATGAAGTGTTTCTAGAAGGAAGAGGTAGAATGGTGCTCCCTGTCACTGCCTCCCTTCCTCATCACCATCAAGAGTCCCAACCACATCACTGGGTTGGCCAGTCCCCATATCTGTGCACTATTTTGCACCTAGACTGTCACATAAGGACGCAAATCCTTTTTCCAGCCCATGGTATAGACAGGATATTTTCATCTAGGTGTAGAACTGCCACCCATTGGTTGAAATGTTTTCCCACCACATAGATTTCCTCACCTGGTTCTCTTGCTGTTCAGGTGGTCCCAGGAGAGGATCTAGGTGTTCATCCTCTGGGCATTACCCCATAACAGGCACACAACCTTCTTACATAGAAATTGTAGTATGTAGGGATTCACATGTTATTGTCACATAGATTATCATACACACATGCACACACACACACACACGAGGAAAAAAATATGATTTCTTTTGTCCATCAATGGGCTCATTCCTTGACCAATTCTTATTTTGGTCTATTAATTCTATTGTATTTAACATATGTTTGTTACTCCATAGTACTTAGATACAAACACTATCAAATGCTTAACTTCATTAAATGAAATTAAGTCTGGCTAAAGGTCCCAGATATTGAGATTGGTGAAAAATTCAGCATCAACCAATTTTGTGGGCCCCTCCATCTTCCTTATATACAAAACCACCAGGGCTTCTATGTGCTGAGAAAATGAGGGTAAGGCCTCGGGCTTCAACAGTGGCAGTTGTGGTATGACCCTCCCTGGTCATTTGGAGATAGCACCTCTGCACCTTACATGCCAAGCTAAGTCATTGGGTATCTTCCCCTAGGCTCCCATAACCAAAGAGCTCTGTCATCCCCCTCGTCATCTGTGCTCATGTCTTTCCAACCCAGAGGTAGTGTCACAGGCCCAGGACCCCTCCAGGCACAGAGTCCATAGTGCAGGAACTCCTCCCCAGGTTCTTCAAATCATGGAAAATTTATGGCCAAGAAAATAGGATGCAGTGTTATGTCAGAAGATTAATCCATTATATTAAATTCTTGGTAAATCACTCTTCAATGAGTCAAGGTAGATGATGCAGTGTTGACAACTAGATAAGAAACTGTATTATATTCCTGAGCCAGGTTTTGCCAGTAGGATAATAAATTTCTCAGATTATCTTTAATCCATCCTTTGTTGTCATTGCTAGTCTGTATCAGAATCTCTGTCTTCATAAAGAAAGCTTTAATGGTCTAACAACCACTTTCTCCCAAACTTTGCTGCAGACCAGAGTGTCTTCTTCTGACATCCTCCCTCAATGTTGTTCCTTAATATTTTGAGGGCAGAAATTTGTGTCACCTTGGTACAAGCAAAGGCCATCCATTCTAAAGTCCCATGTGTTGACCTTCTGGGGATTTACTAATCCCGGTGATGTTTAATCTCCCCTTCCAGCCAGAAAACTCAAATAAATGTGAAGTGTGCCGTGGACATGGAACGCTGTTCTGCTGTGATACCTGTCCAAGGTCCTTTCATGAGACGTGTCACATCCACCCTATAGATGCTAAAAGGTTAGTGACACCTGACCCCCCTCTTGCCCTTCCTGTAGCACAATTCCTCCTGCCACCCTGCAAAGTTTATTTCTGCTTGTATGTGTCTTGATGCAGAAGGAGCAGAGTCTTAAAGTACCAGGATCCAGAAATAGGATCCAGAGCTGTTTAATAGTGCTGGCAGCGGTAGATTAATGGGAAGCAAAAATTCTTCAAGTGGTTATTAGGTGTAATAGAAAAAGATGTCACCCCCACTCGCCCACTTGGATCCCAGACTCATGAACTTTGATGGGGTTATGACACCATATATTGGCTGTTGGTTTAAAGTACTTACCTGTGATGGGAACACCAAACAGGTGACAAATCTTGGGCTGTAATGAACCCTCAGAAGGCCATTTATGCTGCATTCCTTTGGTGTAAAATCCCAGTAATTGTATCTTTGATCAGAGATGCTAGTGTGTTGGGTAATATGGAGATTCATAAGACATTCTGTAAGTGGTAGTGTAAGCAGAATTGCTATGGCCAGGGAGGATGGATGATTTCTACCAGGATTGTGTGTCCCTATGAAGACAGAGCATTGTCCCTTCATAATTGGAGAGTCTAATGTAATCTACCTTCTCCCAGGTAGTCCCAGGGAATGGCGTCATCTCAGGGATTTAGCATAAAGCTCTCTAATTGGACAATCTGCAGAGGCAGAAGACAAGTCTGTTTTATTGTTGAGCCCATGTATAGCCCCCATCCTCACATGGTGGAGCGGGCCCCTCAAGCAAGCATTGGGGTAGCCAGGGGGAGAGGCAAATGGCATATCTAGGAAGGATCACTGTATCCACTTGATTATCGAGAGCCCTTCAGCACAGGTAACCTAGCAGAGAAGAATGGAGAATAAATCTAGAGGTGAATGAAAGCTGTCTGGTACTACTCTGTTCAGAGTTTCTTTCCAAGAAATTTCTGCACTGCAGATTGTAGGCACAGATATGGCAATGCCAGAGGAAAGGATGCCTATAGCTCTGTGGTCTGGTGCTAATTCAGCAAAGTTGAGAAACAAGAACTAGTTTCCTGATTTTTACTATGATCTGATGGCTCACGAGGCCCAGGACTCCAGTGCTGAAGGTGCCAATTCTCAATTCTGTCAGGCAGGGCTCATTACCAAGCCCACAGTGACTCAGATGAACTCTAAGTTTTGAGGTGACAGACCATCACCCACCATGGCACCTCACTCAACAAAATGTCAGTCCTGGTACCACTATTAATGGGAGGGGTGTCTGGCACGTGTGCCCAAATTGAGCTCTAGTGCAGAGAGGTGTCCAAAAGAGAAGCTGGATAAAAAATGGAAACCACCAATCATTCCTGAACAGAGGACTTCAGCAGTTATAGAAAACTGTCTGATTCACAGAGAACCTACCTTTGCTTACCTTATGCCCAACCTTCCAGGGACCCATGGAGTTGCATCTTCTGCAGGATAAAAGCTTTTGAGGAAAGGTACCCACAAAGCCAGGTATGTCGCCAGGAATCTGACGTCCTGAAGAGGCGGATGCTGCCTGAGGAGCAGTTGGTGAGTTGAAATGTAAACCTGAAGTCTCCTCCTTTCTGTTGACCTGAGAGACACAGCACAGTTTTGTAGGGGCTGGAGGGATGGTGCCCAAGGGCGAACTGCTGTCCCTTTCTGTGCTTTGATCATATGACCTAACACTAAAGTTTGTATTCCAAAGAAAATTCCCATTCTGTGTTTGTTTCACCGACGACAGATCTGGGAGCTATGCATTCTATCTGAGCATATGTACACCTCATTCTCTCCAAGCTGCTTTTCACTTAAAATCTCCTCTATCTTTTGCAGAAATGTGAGTTTGTCCTTTTGAAGGTCTACGCCTGTTCAAAAAGCACCTTTTTTGCCTCAAAGCCACATTATGTAAGTAATGGCAACAAAGCTCAAAACTGGCATTGTCAAATTTGTGCTATGAATCCAATGGGTACCATTGTCATTATCTTTCATCTTATTGATGGATGTCTGGGTCAACTTACTCAGCCCTTGGCCAGTGAGGCTGCTGTCATAAGGTACCACACACAGGGCAGCTTAAACAGCAGATGTTTAGTTTTCACATTTTTATTTTCATTCATTTCTCAGCTGGAAGTCCAAGATCAGGGTGTCATTGTGATCTTACAGACTCCCACCTTCTCTTTGTGTCCTCACAAGGTAGAATGAGGAAGGGAGCTTTCTGGGGTCTTTTTATAAGGGCACCAATCCCATTTATGAAGCTCACCCTCACAATCTAATCATCTTCCAAATCCTCACCTCCCGACACCATCACAACAGGGCATTAGAATTTCAACATAGGAATGAGGGTACAGGGGTGGGGGGAACGTGCAGAGGGACAGGCACAAGCCCTCAGTCTGTAACATCCAGTAGACTGGGAACAGCGCTAATAGCCTGCCTTTTGGCACTTTGATCAACAGAGTCTGGAAGCATCTCATGGGAAAAAACTCATGTGGCTAAACAAAATCAAGAAAAAGCTGAAAATGAAATGGTACATCCAAGTGGACGGGTTTGTGCGGGACATGAACACCATCTTTCAGAACCACAGGTCATTTTACAAGGTGAGTGGCTCCCTGGGCATCCCTCTTTCTGTCCCTTAAAGCCACTTTGCCTTTCCTGGTCTTGTCTCAGAGAAATGTCACCATTTCCCTTATCATGTGGCAAGCCCACACAAGTATACATTCTGGAAATAGTCTAAAAGCCCCATGGTCTAAGGTGGGGGAAATTATAATAAGCAGAAGGTATCATTGCAAACATGACCTTAGGACCTCACAGTTTACTCACGTCTAGATACTCAGTTTTTGCCCACAGAGATTGGTAGACGAAGACCTTCTTCCAGAAGAAATGGAAATGCATGTCTTCCTGGACTTAAGTAGCTCTGTATGTGTCCCAGAAGACTCCACCTTTGTCCTGGGTTCCTACGCTTACTCAGCCAGACTAAGGGAGCCAGTGGAGGGAGACTGGGTGCCGAGGCACAGACTCTGCTCATGCACACTTTGCTGTTGCTGCTGTGTACCTGCCAGCTAGCATCCGGGCTCTCAGGGATGTATGAACAGGGGCCGCCCCCTCACACGTGGGCATCCCCCTATCTCCATTTGTTCCCAGGGCTGCAGCCTAGATAAAGAGCATGGGAGGCTGCTTCCAGACCAAACCCTCAAGGCCATGGTGTCAGGAAGGGCATCCCCTGCTGGTGCCAGGCCTCCCAGATCACTCCCCTACTAGGAGTGCAAAGGCAACTAGTATTTCTCTTCTCTAAAGGAAGATACCAAATCAAATATCTCAAATTTCAAAATCTTGGATTTCTTTACGAATTTTTAGGGCTGCATCAAAAAAGTAAACAAGGAGTATCTCAAGGGGTGAAGGAGGAAAGGGGACACCATGAATCTGCCTTCAACATTTCTGTACCTTTGTGGTCATGCAAGGCATAGGTGCTGTGTGAGAAAATCAAAGAACTAGAATTTTGAAAAAAATGAATCAATAAATTTCTGATGAAGAATTGGACTACAATATAGTACTATTTTTGCCTCTCTGCCTTCCAGATAAAGAGAAATGATTGAGTTATCAGAGAACATAAGCTACTTTTAACTGTATTAATTCTCACTTAACACGTGGGATAGTCTAAAATGAAGACTGGATTATGTGAAACAATGAGAGCCAAACTCAGCAGCAATGGTTACTCTTGTTGTTGTCTTTGCTTTTCCAGAACAACCAGAAATTCATCCGACTGGGAAGCCAAGTAGAGGATGTATTTCAGAATAACTTCAGAAACACCTTTGCAATTCAGGAAAGAAGTGAGGACAGTTCTCCGTTAGAGCCCACTCTTTCATAAAGTACACCCCCCCCCCCATCTTTAGCAGCTACATGATAATGCACTGTGGTCAAAATGTGAACATTTTGCCTGTTGCTGTGGAAACAACTTTTTCAAACAGATTTTTTATTGCCATTTCTGCTCATTTATTTTTCTAAATAAAACATAAAATTATCCTGTCAAGTTCTCTTATTGAATTATTTGCAGTGAAATTTACAATAGAAAACGTTGGGTCTTTCCATAAGGGCTCATCTTATGTGCTTCCATTTATCTGAATCTTTTATTAGGTCCTTAAATAAAACTTTCCCTTCTTTTTTCCTCTCCACGCAGGACATATCCATTTCTTTCTTTCCTTCTTTCTTTCTTTCCTTTTATTTATTTATTTATTTTTACTCTCAGGTAGTTAGTATTATTTCTTGTTATTGTGAAAGTGAACTTTTCCCCCAATGTATTTTATTACCAAGTATTGATTCTTTGTAGAAAGCTATTATAATTTATATACTGTGGTCACCGATTACCTTACTGAATACCGGATAGCATCCTTTTATGTCTCCTACTCAGTGATATCAGGTAGCAGAGAAAAACCAGTTTTCAATTCATGGATCATAACTGGTTCAGCTGATGGAAGCATTCCTCACTTGGGCCCTGAAATCTCTGACAATTCTTGGTTCTGTTGGTAAATGGCTCTGCCATGGCACCCTGGTGACCTTGCACATCTCCACATAAACCTCATAGGTAGAACTTCACTGCAGCTGATTCAGTCTAAGTCTTGGCAGACCTCTCTGTGGTCTTTCCAGAACGTGAGAGCACAGGAGGCTTGTGTAGCGCTGGGACGCGACCATGTCCCACTCACCGCCTTAACTTGCAGAGGTTATCATGACACACTCTCTCCTCACACTGTACATTCTGACCAGTTGTGAGGCCTCTGCCTCTTGTTTTAGATTAGAGCTGCTGGCTCTGTAACTGCTCCACTCTGATAGGAGTGTCAGCTGAATTTCACACTGCTGCAAATGCCATCCACATCCCCTTCTGTTTGGTGCCATTCCATGGGACAAAGGACATGGTGGACTGGCATCTTTGCTCTTCCTGCTTTTGCTGTCTATGTAAGTCATAAACTGTCTGAATCTAAAAAGGGCGCATTATATCTTTACTGGCCAGATCAGTCAGCCTTGCAGGACAGGTTCCCAGATCCAGCATCTTCTGGTTAGAGCACCTGACAAAGAATACCCCAGATTGGTAGCTGGTTCAGAGCACACACTACGTCCTTCAGGGAAACACTTCAACCGCAGGAATTTTTGTCACCAGCTGGTTCCAAAGGTGACTCTCCAACACACCACTTCATTCAATCATGAAATGTTATTGTTGGAATGGGTCATTTTGAAGATTAATTTATGTATGTTAAGTGTTTAAAATCATGTCAGAGACACATGAATGTAACATTGTGGCTACACACTAGGGATCCTGTATTCAGAATGTTAAATCAAGCAAAAGGAGGTAATTCTCGTTGTCTACTTAGCTAGTTGATAGATACTCAGACAAGTGGAGGCCATAAAAACCAAAATTGGTATGGTTCCTAGCCCTTCCCAAAGAAACTTTTGTCTCACATCCTTAAAAGATTATTGAACACTGACCCTCAGCTAATTCTGGGACCTGAAATGTCATGATGGCCTATCTGATCAAAGAGGTTCAGGCAGTAAAGGCGGTTTCAATCTCCTGGTAGACCTAGTTGGAGAAGTTTCTTAATGCAATTGATGAAAATATTTATGGGTGATTCAGAAACAAATGTGACTGAGGCTCTAGCTCCCTGATGTTATGACTGAAAAGGGAAATGGTCTCCTAAACAAGTAAAAAGTTCAGGGATCCTGCCAGAAAATAAACTTTCTGGGGTTACGGTTAGCTAGAGATATTCAATAAATTCCATCATTGACCAAGCAAAGGATTTTATTCTTGAAGATCTCTCCTTAACATATTCTATTTTTAGTCCTTTGCCTCCTGATAAAGTTCTATTTTTCATTTAGATTTAATTTTATTTATTTTTAAAAATATTTTTAAGTTTATTTATTTATTGAGAGAGAGAGAGAACAAGCAGAGGAAAGGAGGAGAGAGAGGGGGACAGAGGATCCAAAGCAGGCCCTGTGACAAAAGCAGAGAGCCAGCAGAGAGCCCAATGTGGGGCTTGAACTCATGAACTGTGAGATCATGACCTGAGCTGAAGTTGGAAATTTAACCAACTGAGCCACCCAGGTGCCACTAGATTTACCTTTTAAAAGTTACCTCCTTTTTGTTTGCTTTGTTGAACCGGGGGTATCAGTAATGTGGCTTCATTCTTTCACTATTATCCAGGATTGGTTCTTCACAGTCTCCTATTTTTATTTTGTGGCAGAAACAGTAGTGTTCACCAAATATCACATATATCCTCCTAAGTTTTCCAGCGCCTTGCATTAGGCATGTCTAAATGACTGAGACACTGACCAAGGGATTATGATTAAAAGTGGCATATGTCATTTGCAAGTTGATTCACAGAAAGTCAATGAGAATTCCCTGTGTACCCTCTCCTGCCACATTGATTATGGAGGCCTTGTTTTGAGATGACAGAGCCTAGAGATTGACCCCACCTGGTACTTGATCCCACCCCAGGAGGGCTCCCAGATCCACTGTGACTTTGAGTAAGCAAGAAGGAAATTTTCTTGTCTATGCCATTAACACTCAAGGGTTGTTTATTGCCATGGCATGACCCAGCAAGAGCTGGCTAATGTGTATTGGAAACAAGGGAGAAAAAAGCACTTGTAGCAGTGGGTATTAAGGATGTAAGACCAGGAAGGGTAGAATACAAGACTGGATAATGGAGAGGCACCTGAATGGCTCAGCCAGTTAAGCATCTGACTCTTGATTTCAGCTCAGGTCATGATCTCATGGTTTGTGAGATCCATGCTATCAGTGAGGAGCCTGCTTGGGATTCTCTCTCCCCCTCTCTCTGCTTCTCTCTCTCTCTCTCTGTCAAAATAAATAAATAAATTTTTAAAAATATCTGGATAGTGGAGACTTCATTGACACAGAAGCCCTCTCCTCTGATCAGGGCATAAGGCCCTGGCACGGGCACCTGGACGTGGTCCTGTCTGTCTATGACTGAACCGGCTCCTTGAAGCCTGGACAAAAGGATGGCATTTAGGAAATGAAGTGGAGATTCCCCAAATGCCTTAACATAGTACCAAAGAAGGGGTCAGAAGGCTCGGAGAGGGAGAAATGCTCACATGGTGTATCAATGAGACCTGAAGACATTCCACATGGCTTGTTACCCAGGTGAGCCCAGAGGACATTCCCTTTACAAAACCCATAGAAAGTGCATTGTGTGGGAGAGTTGGCATTGTTGAGACCCTCACTTTTGCCTCTCCTCTATAAACCAGAGTTGACACCAATCCAGACCCAATCTCCCCAGACCCCTCCTCCTACTCATGGCCTAGAATACCAAATAGATTGTTCCCACAAGCAAGAAACAACTTCTCTTTTACCAATTACAAATATTCAGATTCTATCTCATATGGCAGATGGCCTACTTTAATAAAAAAGGCTAAGCTAGATGCTATAAAATTTATTCTCTTACTTTTGAATGATCTAGCAAACAACTGGGTTTAATGTGTTTAGAAATTTTGTTGAAGATTCATTTGCATACCAAGAATTCTTATTTGCACACATTTCTCTTCTAACAGGCATGTCAGGAGTAAAAGTATTTCCAATATCCATGAGATCTATAAAGCATGAGAAGAAAACAGTAATTTGTACATTGAAGAGTGGTAGATCTTGATTATTTCACAAAATTCACAATCAGGATTGAGACATGTTGAATATTATTTCTCTCTACTTTCCTAAAGAAAATAAACTATGGGGCTGAGTTCTAGAAATCAAAGATAATAATTTTAGTTGTTCTTTTACTTTTTTAAGTTCTACCTTTATTTATTTTAAGAGAGAGAGATAGAGCCGTGGAGGGACAGAGAGAGAGGGAGAGAGAGAGAATCCTAAGCAGGCTCCACACTGTCGCACAGTGCCTGACACAGGACTGGAACTCATGAACTGTGAGATCATGACCTGAGCCAAAATCAAGAGTTGGCCACTTAACCGACTGAGCCACCCAGATGCCCCTCTTGTTGTTCTTTTAATTTGCTATTTGGCATTGTGAAAAGAGAAGAAGAAAGGGAAAACCTTAAACATGTGTGCTTTGGTTTCCTCATATATAAAACAGGGCTATCAACATTTGTTCTGCCTTACATCTCCTGATCATGGTGAAGTTGAAATGAGAATTTTTTTTTTTTTTTTTTTTGCAAAATCCTTTGGTAAACCACCACATACTCAATGGCATTGAGAAAGTAGAAATGAGCTCAGTCAGAGAAGCAAAAATCCGCCTTGCCATTCATGAAGCTGCAATAACAGGTAAGGAGAAAACCAGCTGCAAATTTCATGGGAAACATTCTCCTAAGAACTTGTTGCAGCTGTGAAATGTCCTAACAACCCTTCTTTGAATGACTAGTGCATTCTTACTTGCTGAGGAACTTTGTTGTCAAAATCCATACACTATCAGAAACTTGTTTGAAATTACATCAGCAAGAAAGAAAAAATCATCTCACCCTTGCTTGGAAGGTCTGTTATTTTTTTTAATGGTTATTTATCTATTTTTGAGAGAGAGAGAGAGAGAGAGAGAGTGAGAACAAGCATGAGTGGGGAAAGGGCAGAGAGAGAGGAAGAGAGAGAATCCCAAGCAGGCCCTATGCTGTCAACGCAGAGCCAGACTTCGGTCTCGAACTCATTAACAGTGAGATCATGACCTAAACTGAAACCAAGAATCATCTGCTTAACCAACAAAGCCACCCAGGAGCCCCTGAGTTATTTTGATAGAGATGAAATCTTGATTCTAATCCAGGGGCATAGCTTCCAATATGGGGTTTCCAAAGGCAACATTCCACATTTTCATAACTTTGTAGTTTTCCAGCAATAGGACCCTGGGTCCACTTCACAATCCAGACCTGATCTTTACACAGCTCTGGCTTGGTTTGAACCTATCAAATCACTGCATCCTATAAATTATACTTAAACTCCATCCTTTTCCAAACTGCATAATAACTATCTGTATCTTTGTTCGGCTCAATGTCCATGGTTCTCTGGTGTGTGTTCCTCTCCCTTGTTACAACGAG